CACCAGACAAACAATCAAGCAGTAAACAATACCCTAATCAAAGAACTACCAACTCAGACAGTCAAGCAGTAAACAACAGCCTAATCAAGGAGAAAACTACACCCCCACCAACACTGACAGGGAAACTACTGTATATAAAAGAGAGCAAATCCCATTCCTTTCTAGCACTGAAGATGTTACCTAGCCAGGTAATGAAACATCTGCAAGAAAACAACCAAGCTCAGAGAACCCCAAGGACTGCACAACTCTCCCTTGGATCCCAGAGCTCTAAAACCCGCTAGAGACCACTATTTTATGGTGTCCTTGTGGGGAACCTCTGTATGAGCCACGTTCTCAGTTTTGGGAGGATCATAAGAGTATCTTAGCATGCCATGAGGAATGCATAAATAATTAGGGATTTCTTTAAAATAAGGGGAGCAAATATACTGTAATTCAGGAATAGAATAACTAGTTAGAATGCAGAAGGTGCCACGTTCAGTCCTTGACAGTTTGCAGATAGGCCTGGAAGAGTGCTTCTGCTCAGAGTACACAACTCTGACTGTGAGTCTAAGATTTTTGTAAGAAAACTTCTTACATTTCTAGATTCCTATCTTTGTGTGATTCATTGTCCTGACTCAGATCATTATATGGTTTGCCTTCATTTGATCAATTCTAGTACAAAGACACAACAGAATTACCCAGAGGAGGCTATCCACCTGGTCTCTGCATGACTCATCAAGTGTCTATATGACTCTTCAGATAAGTGGATCACATGGAAAGGGGTGGGGATCCTCTGCAGAGGAATAAACATTCCCTGTAGTCCTTTTCCAATAATAAAATCTTTTTTATTAGGGGGAAAGTGTGCCATCAATTTTCATTCTGTGTACCGAGAGAAGGGAGTGAGTGCTTCAGCCTGCCAACATCTCTTTTTAAGCAAAACTAGGGAAAAAAGCCACTTGCATGTTGTCTGTGAAATGGATGTTTGACATTTAAATTGCAGCTGCTGCTTTTTTTTCCCTTCCCTGTTTCCTTTAGCCGTTCTCCTTCACCCTTACAAACAACTGAGAAGGAGAAAGAGAACCCAGCAGAGCTGGCTGAACGATGTTTGCGGGAGCTCCTAGGTCGGGCAGCTTATGGCAATATCAAAAATGCAATCAAGCCTGTCCTCATGTAAGTTCCCTGCGTTTTATGTTGTACACCTGCCTCAGTATCCCCTTTGAGATGTTTAACAAAGCCACATGAAGGTAGTGCATTGAATTTCTTCTTCCTCACACCTAACACCATCATTATTATTATTGTTTTCATTCCAGTATTTTTCCAAGGAACTTGGGAATATTGCACAAAGTGATCTCATCCTGCTCCCTTAAATCATTATAAGAAGGCTGTGAGGTGGTCTAAGCAGAAAGCAAGCAACTGAATTCCCACAATAGGCCAAATCCTAGACCCAGCTTAGCACTTGTGTTACCTAACATGGTGAGCCCTCCAAAATAAACCATATTAAGGCCTGTTGTTATGGCTGTGGTTCACCCAAGATGATAAGACAAAAGTAGGTTCCTACAACCTGCTCAGCCATAAACTGATCCTCATTTTAGCCTCATCTGACATGTTGTATTAAATCCAGTCACTGATTCTCTGGCAGAGTTCAGTATTAGAGCTCTAGTACAAATCATTATCATTAACACTTTTATACTTTGCTCTTCTCCTAATAGATATCTAGGGCAGCATATATTAGGACATAATAGATATCTAGGGCAGCGTATAATAAACCTTCAGTTAAGCATAGGAGGAAAAGCCATTTAATAAAACTGAATTGTGGCATTAAAATTAGAGACCAAGCATCATATAATTTTTTAAACCCCAATGCGACGCAACTATTTTTACTCCTGTCTAATGCTAAATAAGAAAGCAACTAATCTCAGTTGCAGTATAAAGGAGTTGTTGTTCTAGCAGTGGGGCTCTTCTGACCAAAAGGGGCCTATTTCTGGATCAACCAACCTAGTTGCTAGAGTACAATCAGCTTCCAGTGAATTAATTTGTTTACTCATTCATTCTTCCATTTATATGCCTCCCCAGTCTAAGATTCCGGAAGGCTCACAACTTATAAAATTGCAGACATCGCAAATAATAATTAAAACATAACTATCATAAAACTCGTTAAAAAGACCTAATAGCAAACAGAAAATTAGCAGCAACCTTACTATAGGGGATACTGTGCCTCAAAAATGCAAGTGAAAGACACCAGTCTTTACCACTTTCCTGAAACATAAGACCTCGGGAGGCTGGCTGTTCCATAGGGTTGGGTGGCCAATGAAAAGGCCTGCTTCCAGTCATACACACACGTGCACTGTCCCAAACCTCCTGAGAATGATTAGGGTACTGTTTCTTCCCTGATGGTTTATCTGGTGCTGCTTCCTGTTTATCTGGATATTGGTAGCTAGGGAGGATGTGATTTGGGCTGTTTGTTTCCTGCCTTGACTTTTGATTGTATGTTTTAAATTGTATGTAGATGGGATTTATCTTTATGGGTCTGTTGACGGCTGATTTGTCAAAATGCCAAGATTCCAGGAATTCGCTAGCTACCAACATCCCCATGAGGAACAGCACCAGCAAACTCCACTCTCCCATGCACCAATGATATTATCTAGCCTTGTACTGAAACATTTGGGAAGGAAAAAAACAACAACCAAGCTTGGAGAACACTAAGAACCCAGTAATAGGACCCCTCTCTCTCTCTGCATTAAGCCTGTTGTTTTTTCATCCAGGCAATGATTTAGGATGTCAACAGTCTTTCATGGACTATTTGTGATCTCATTCTCCAGAAGCACCTGAGTGGCTCCTATAGCGAGAAGGATGATGGATGTTTACTTGGAACGACCTTTGGTTTGGTCCAACTTAAGCTTGTTCATGAAAATAACTGCCTCTGATCCATGAGCAAACTGACCTACAGCCATTATTGGCTTGAATCCTTAAATTCTAGTTTCTCTTCATAGGAGAGAGGTCCTTTTACGTTTTAAAAAATTAGCTAGATTTGGTTTCATTTACTAATCTGAAGCTGTTGATCTTTGAAAATGATTGTCTTTCGAATTTAGATGACTAATCAATTGCATCAAGTCTACTAAATTCATATTTCTTTTTTCCTTCTTATTTCCCAAAAGCCACTTGGATAACCACTCCCTCTGGGAGCCAAATACATTTGCAATCCGCTGCTTTAAGATCATCATGTACTCTATCCAGGTGAGATCTGCACTGAGGGGACATTTCATTTTCTATTCCTACACTATAAGGAAACTTGGTTTCTACTGCAGCGGCAGCTGTTTCATCGGTCAGGTGAAGTAACATGAGCTTAAACTTCAGGGCAGAACCTCCCTTGATGAGTCATGAATTCCAGCAACCTAACTACCTACCTCCTTGCACAACCACAGTCAAAAGAACATTATTTATTTATTTAAAAGATTTCTATGACCGCCTGTCTTAAAACACAGCTCTGGGTGGCTCACAGCAACAATAAAACATAAAAGAGGACATTTCTTTTCTTAAGGAGGTTCTAATGTTCTTATATACATTATAGGTTCAAAGAACGAATTATAAGATGCATGAGATAGCCTGATCGTGCACCATAGCCACCTATCCACCCATGTTCAAGTGACAAAAGGTTCTATGTATATACTGATTTAGGAACATAGGGCTGTTCTGCATCCAAGCCAAATGTTGAGAGAGGAGGAAAAGTTACATAAATGAGCCTTTTGTGCATGTCCTGCAATTCCATGACTCTGGTATTGTAATCATGGGTCCTTTGTTTTCATTAAAAAGCAAAGCATTTCTAACCTGGGAGGGAGAGAAGGGAGAGATGTGCAGTGAACTGACATATTTGCTACTTATGTTGAGTGTGAAGATACCCTTATCTCTGGGCTCCATAACTCACCTCCCAGTAATCCAGATTCCAGTGCAATCCTCTTAAAGCATCTGTAGTTCATAATGTTATTTGCCCACCTGCTCTATCTTTTCTTTTTTCTTTACATCTAGCCACAACATTCCCATCTGGTGATCCAGCAGCTCCTGAGCCATTTGGATGCCAATAGCAAAAGTGCTGCCACTGTCCGGGCTGGGATAGTGGAGGTCCTCTCGGAGGCAGCCATCATTGCAGCCTCTGGATCTGTTGGTAAGCAGCCTGGATGATTTTCAAGAGGGTATCTCTTCAAGGATCAAAGTTCTCAAATTCCAAAAACTGCGAATTTCCCAAAAGGATAGTCAATGTACAGATTGACCTATTTGCAGGCACCAGCCTAGATGGATCAGTGAAAAAGATTGATCAAGAATTGTTCTTTGAGAGATATTTCAGAGCAGCCAAAACTAGACTTTTAGGATTAATAGGGAGCAGCCTGATGGAAGAACTGGACCTTTAAGATCAAAATAAGTGAATTGTACTTAACAATAGGTTTTTTTAAACACTGATGGGATTTATAGGGGACCACAAGTGGAGGTGCCAAGACTGGAGAACTATAAGGAGAAAATCAACTCTACCTGTCCAGGAACTCTAATTTTTGCATCAAAAAACCCTGGATACTTCAATTGGAATATAGGTGTGTTCAAATCCATAGTCAAGAAACATCCCCTTTCTGTTGGGATCCAGCATTCCTGTAGCATGTTGTTTTGTTGCATTGGAGGCAAAAAAAACCCTTTTCTATGCGCTGAAACTCACAGAAGTTCTTCTTCCAAATATATATTCTGTGTTTCTTCTAGGACCAACTGTGCTGGAGGTGTTCAACACCCTCCTAAGGCAGCTGCGGCTGAGCATTGATTACGCCTTGACGGGTAGCTATGATTGTGTCATTGCTGGTGGCACCAAGATCATCAAGGAGCATGAAGAAAGAATGTTCCAGGAGGCCATAATCAAGACCACAGGTATGCTAGGTAGCCCCAAAGCATTGGCACCATTTTTCCTCAGAAACTGGGAGGAGGGGACTATTGATTTTATCCATATCTGCAGATGCTTCCTTCCCCATCCAAGGTTTCAATTACCCTTGTAAATTTGAATGAATCCTGCCAACTCTATTTCTTACAGGTTTAGCAAACAGACAATGATAGGAAAATAGAAACAGCATCAGAGTAATATATCTTGAATGCTGCAGGTCTTGCTTTTATTCAGAGAAAGGAGAATCAAATACATGCGTATCATGCGTTCACCAAAACACATGAGATCCTGGATGAGAGTCTTCTGAAACTTCTCAGACATCAAGAGTCTAGAAGCATGCTGTTCGTTTGTTTGTTTGTTTGTAAAGGAAGAGAGTTATAACTGATCACCACCACCACTAATACATCAAAACTGGGCTTTGATCTGATCATTCAGATTCTTCCTATATCTTTGTGTACAGAAAATTAGTAACCACACATTGATTTCCCCCAAACTCGGCCAAAATCTATGGGCCCCTGCCACTGTGTAATATTGTGCAAAGCACAGCTCAGTTGTAAAAGTTCCATCTTCTAGGTACAGATCTGTCATTTACGTGTCTCTTGGTGTTGGAAGGAAGGAATAAATACACTGATTTTTCTGTAAACATTCTCAGAAAAGGAAATCATCTAGGTTTTTAGCCTGACTCCTTCAGTACTGATGATTTTTCTTTTTACAGCAAAAGCAAACTTGAGAGCCTTCATTAGACTCTCCTTTAATTCTTTATCTTGCCATTTAATTGAATTTAGAACCACTTTCCTTAACTTCCATAAGCCCCAGCCAGGATGGCCCTTGGCTCTTGATTGAGAAATCCTAAATTAGAGTCAAGCCTTTGCAATCATTCTGTGTTACAGGGACTGTTTTATTAGATTTGCCTCTGTTTAGCTACTTAAAAAAATTAACTCAGCCCTTCTCCTCCTCCTTGAATGCTCATAGCACGGTAATAATTAGCAATCAAAAAAACAGTTTGAAACAATCAGCCCGTGCCTTCAGAAACCAAGTAAATTTTATATAAAAATAATGAAAAACCTTGATAAGCCACTTAAAAGCCCCAAAGGGACTGTTCTAGTCTTGAGATGGATTCAGTATCTTTCTAGGAATGGGTGAGGGGCTGTTACTTGGATGCATGCTGTGTTTTTGCATGGCTCGCAGCCCAATATAATCTTTTGGAATTTTTTTAGGGCTAACTGGAGTTTCTAGAACAGTGTTTCTCAACCTTAGCCATTTTAAGATGTGTGGACTTCAGCTCCCAGAATTTCCCAGCCAGCATCTCTAGTTAGAAGGATCTTGAGAAGCACAACTTGGAGAAGTCCTTGGTAAACTGTCACCAATCTAAGTAGACATTTCTGGGCTAAAAGAGCCCAGGATGAACTGTGTCTAAGATGACATCACATTTGCTTAGTTCCAAGCTTTGTGCTAGAAGTACTGCTATCTGCAAGACAAGAACCATTCCTTAAAATTTGCACCAAAAAGCCACGTGGAATTCTCCTTTACTGCTGCATCTATAGTGAATAGACATTTAAACAGTTCTAGAACGGTTAGCTTGGTCTGGAAGCAAGAGTTCAGTGCAAGTGTTCTTACTGCCTTCCAAGATAAAGCTCCAGGAGGAACTATGGCACACATGATGTGACTAATAAAATTTAGTTGAGTTTTAGTCAAAAAAGCAATGGCAAGTTCTCTGTTTCTTCCTGGTTTTTTTCACGCTTAGATAGTCCACAGCTATGCTGATTATGGGAAACTTTGGGCCCAATCCACTGGCCTTGAGATTGGTAGGGAGAGTAAGGAAACCTAACCCTTCCAATAGGGTCTTTATATGGGACATGTATGTTTCTCTATCCCATGCTTTGCATGCCTGATGCTAAAGCAGGAACTTGGCTACTATTTTGATACAAAAATGGTTTGTCTCCCACTGCACAGGGAAAGTATTGCTTTGGAGTGGGTAGTGACATCCCCGAGCTACTTTCAATGCTGCATTGGTTCTTAATCTATACAAGTGAGGTCAATTTTGCCAATAATGTATGACATGACAGTTCCTCCTTCTGTTGTCAGTCATGTGTATAATGTTCTCTGTAGGTGGGAGGATTATTCTGTGAAACTGCTTACAGCCCCCCTTCATCCTTGCCTCATGGCAAAGGTAAGGTATGGTAAATTGTGCCCCTCCAGGTGTTGCAGAACTCCATCTTCTGTCACCCCAGCAATTGTTTAGTGATGACAATAACCGCAACATTTGGTGGACCATATGAGGCCATCCATATCTGCTTTTAAGGGTTTTGGTTAGGTACTAGAAAAGATTTAGAAGTTAAGCCTGGTATGTACTAAACCATGATGCCTGGATTCCCTGATCTTTGTTGTATGGAAATATTGGAGCAGCTTCCTTAATAGTGAGGAAAAAGCCTTCACTTTCATGCACTGCATGGCCAACAGAGGTCAGAAGAGACTTGGTAATCATTGGAATAGCTGGCAGAGACAGAAGGAAAAGAAGAGGAAACCATTCCAATGTTCTCCTGGAGTTTTCGGGTTATAAGCAGGCAATCCTTTGAGGAAGGAGAGGTTTTGAAGCTGTCTCGTAGGGAATAAACCTCGAATATTCTTCAGGTTGAACATGCATTCTATGACTTCTGCCCAAGAGTCTGATCTAACTTGTCTAAACCACTTCTTTATACCTTTACATCTAGTTCATCAGGCTCTATTCATGAAAAGAGTGCAGAAAAATCTGGAACCATTCTGGAAGTGGTCCCAGTCTCTATTTTCAGTGCATTTGGAAAGTATTCAGACCCCCTTCACTTTTTTCAATTTTGTTATGTTGCAGCCTGATACTACAATCGTTCAAATTCATTTTTTTTCCCTCATTAATCTTCACTCAGTACCGCATAATGACAAAGTGAAAACAGAATTTTAGAAGTGACTGTAAATTTGTTAAAAAGGAAAAACTGAAATATCACATTGGCATAAGTATTCAGATTTTTTACTCAGTACTTTGTTGAAGCACCTTTGGCAGCAATTACAGCCTCGAGCCTTTTTCAGTATGACGCAACAAACTTTGCACACCTGGATTGGGGGGATTTTCTGCCACTCAGCTTTGCAAATCCTCTCAAGCTCAATCAGGTTGGATGGGGACCGTT